CGGCAGAGGCTGCGCGGGGAAGAGCTCCGGCAGGCCCAGGGCGAAGGGTCGGCTCTGGGAGCCAGAGTTACTGGGGCACCCTCCCCAGTGAGCCGAGAACGCGGAGCAACAGGCAGATACTCCCCATCCCATTATCAAAATGGCAAATTCCTTTATAAATAGGGAAATAAAGAATCACGATTTAGCCTGCGTGCTTCTTTTTCTACATAAGGGCGCAATTAAGAAATATTGAGGTCAAGATATGTGTGTTGTAACAAGCCCTTGAGATAACAACATTATCACAGTTTGTATTTGCATTATTAAATAACCACGGACAATGAACCATCTGCAGGCTTGATTAGGGAGTAAATTGCTTAAAATTAGAATTTTTTTTCTTAAACGCCGTTGTTCATAAAAATAAAGCACTAGAGCAAAGAAGCTGACTGGGATGTTAGAAGATGGGGAAAACAACGTTCATAGTCAGAACAGGTAGCCCTCAGTTCTCCAGTGAGTCCTAGATGGATTGCAGAGGAAGAAAATTCCTGGGCTTGCACAAGAGCAGGAAACATTAACCTTTAGCTGCTTCAAAGGTCCCCCCTGCTCACCCCCAAACTCTCTATCTTTCTTGTTTTCCCTCTGTGTAAAGACCCCTTATAGCTAAAGCTCTGCTCTGCATCAGCATACCCAAATAGTTGGAGGCACAGCAGGAAGGGTCTGTCCACTGCATGACACTAATATTTGCCGACGATTGATCAAGCATCCGTCTCTCTGTTATTCTTTAACTTCAGGGCAGGGTTCAAAGTTCTGTCTTCTGTTTAAAAACTGATTTCACTAAAGGGCATGAACTCTGGCTAATCCAGCAGTGATAGAGGGCTGTAGAGGAGGACGAGGGTTTGCCACGGTTAGAGGAACGCGCTGAGGCTCGTGCAGTGCTGCAGGCACGTGCACGTCCACGTACGCCGCGGTAGCTAGCGAGCCTAAAGGAGGTACAGAAAGCAGCAAGGCAGCCAGGCCGGATAGCAACACAGCGCGCAAGTGCCAGATGTTCTCACACACAGCAGAAATGAAGGTGAGGTTTTGGCCAGTGCTGTGATAGCACAAACCTGGTGCCCCACGTACCGCTGTCGTGGCCTAGCTCTGTCACTCACACGTGTTCCTGTGCCTTGCCTACCCGAGTCACCCACACGTGCCTGGCTTCGTGGTCACTGCCTGACATCTGAATGCTACATTAGCACAGAGGCAAGGCCTTCAGCCCTCCACAAGGTTCCAGTCCAAAGAAAAATTTCATTTTTACCAGGTTGGAGCATGTAGAATCCAGCTGAAGTTTAAGGTTACACGTTAGCATGATTTTTGTCCCTGTTGAAACCAGCTTGGCGCCTATGCATGTTTGGCAAAAGCATTGTGACATGGTTAGATATTCAGAAAAAACAAACTGAGTAAGCTAGAGGCATTGTACATCAAAATAGGTGGTTGTTAGACACGATAGAGAATTGTCAAAGGCACTGAAATGCAGTGCCAAAAGACTTGTATTAGTGAGGTTGTGATGTGACAGAGAGGATAGAGATAATAGATTTAGACCAGTCTTGTTAGTTCAGTGTGTATGTGTTGTTAATAGATCTTACTTTTACATCGCATTGGACTCTAAACTTGAGACTACTTTGTCGGGCTAATAAAACAGACAGAGAAAACTGCAGAAAATGTCAGGTAAAAATGAGAGACATTTGATCAGGAATACATTAAACTTGATCAGGACTCGCTCAGTAGTAGGGCTAAGGAAAATAATCATGGGTAATCATCAAGAGATTATTTGTCTTTGTGCTCCTTGTGTAGGAGACATTTTGAAATAGGAGCAGTTCCTGCTCGGTTGCCATGGCAAACCCTGCTGCCTTTCTCATGATAGCATTATGCAGGGACGTAAACGACAGCGAGTTCATGTGGCTTCAATTTTGGAATGAAAAAGAGCATGAAATCCAGCTTGTCATTCAGCAGGCATTAAAACCTTCGAAATGCTAAAACAGAAAAGAGGGTGGCTTTGAGAAGCGAGTACTGGGCAGCATTTTAAAGAAATTTCATCGTTTGTGAGTACCAGTGGGTTTTTCAGTTCCCAAATATTCATTAAATGCAGTTCTAACCATGAGGCCTCAACAGTAGGTGTACCTCTCTCAGTGCTCATGGGTCTTGTGTGTGCTCCCTGCCCAGGTCAGTGTCCCACCACCATGATACAAACACCCGAGCCGGCTCTGTGGGCGCCCGCCCGTCCATCTGCGCCGCCGTCGTGCGGCGCGGCCGACACGCAGCGCTGCGGCGCGGGGGCCGTCTCTGCGCTTGCACCCCGGCGCTGCTGCGGGAGCGGAACGAGCGCCGTTACCGGTGAGTCTGCTTGAAAACAAGTGAAAAATATGGAGTGCTGTTTGTATGGGAAATAAGGACCCTCCCTCCATAGGACTCCTCTGGGCTGCGTCACCCGCACTGGGAAGGGCGTTTGCACAAGGGCCCTGCGCTCCAGTCTGCCCTGCGCTCGCTGCTGGAATGATAACCTAGTCACTGCAAATGTCCTTCCTGCAGCGGCTCCTACGGGTGGCCACAGAGCATTGCTGCTGCATCTGCGTTTATTGGGGACTTCAACATATTGGCTTGTTTGTTTGTGTAAGGTCAGCAGCCTCTCTCCTCGGTGCACGTTTGCCATTGGCAGACACTGCAGAACAGGGGCTAGCACAGATGTCCTTCTACCATCGAGAAGGTTGCAATGCCACCAGGAATTTTTCATTTCCATTTGGAAACACGGATGCCATTGTAGAGGCATGGGTAATCTTGGAGGGGGGACAGGAGGGGCTGGTTTTGTGAAGTGTCCTTGTTAATCTCCTGTTTATGGTATTATCTTGTTTGTCACCTTATGGCACAAAGTCCTCAGCTGCAAATCCTACCAGGCTGAGTCAGCTGAGGGGGTTGTTGGTCATGGGGCAGCGTTAGGGAGCTCCCCAGGAACAGAACGGGTCTTCCCAGCTGTGGTAAATCGCACAGTCTTTGGGATTGACACTGATGGTCTGCGGTCAAAGTAAGAAAGTTTCGCATAGTCACCTTGTCTGCCCGTCCTCCTTGTCCAGCTCCTGACACTCAAGCTGTCCAGCAGGACACTGAAGCTGCGTAAGCTGATTTTTTAACTTAGCTGCGCGTTAATTCTATCAGTAAGACTAAGGGATAACAGAGCCTGTCTGCTCTATATACGCTCATTGCGTACCGGATAATTCAAGACCTAAATTATTCTTTTCTTAGAAACTGTGCTGGAATGGGTGGGGTACCAAAAAGAAGCTGGGCGAGATGGCAGTTTGGTGTCTTGTGCAGTGACACCTCTTCAGCGAGCACTGCGTCGTGACTGACCTTGTACGACTTGCTCCGATGCGTCACGATCGCGAGACGTCGCCCTAAACAGTGTCGTGTCGAGCTGTGCAGCAGTGGCCCGGAATTTGCTCTAGACCTCTCCTAGTGATACGTTATTTTTCAGCTGAAAACGTGATTTGTTAGTGTTTCATGGAAGCGAAGGATCACGGAGAAAGAAGTGGGAACCACTGATTTTAATCACTTAAACATACACCAGGCAAAGAAGGTAGGCGGGCTCCCACAAGCACCTGCTGGCTCTTGCAGGAAAGGGCCACCTTATTACTAGGGTTTTTTAAACAGAGCTAAACATAGCTTCAGTTAGACACAAAAAATATATTTGAGTATGAAATGCTCTAGCTTCCATAATTCTTTATTAAGTATTTAATTAAGTTGCATCATTTCATTACAACGAGTTCATTTTGTCACATTGAACATTTGCTATCAGGAAAACAAACTACAATTTCCTTCACTTCTCTTAAGAAAATAAATGGAAAGAATGATTTTTGCCCTTAAACCAAACCTTTTCCCACGGTGTGCCAAATCCAACCACAGTTTAAAGTTATTTTAAATGTGAAAATGAGCATTATCTGTAAGTAGTTTTAAAATCAAATTAAAGGTAGTTTAGCATGATTTTGAATTGCTGCCTAGTGTGAGGCAGTTTTACAAAAAGAAATTATGAATATGAGAATTCATTTGGAATGTCTGAAACTCTCATTCACCTTTGGAGATATTAAGAAGCTCAAGTTTAAATTTGATTTAAAAAAAAATAGGTTGACAAGCACAGAATGTAACAGCCTCCCTCTCTGGCGTTTCCGGCGGGGTCTGAGAATCGCAACCTGCCCCGCGCGGTGGCGGCGCGACGGAGCCACGGCACAGAGCGTGGCGTCCCTCTAAATCCAAGGGAACGGATTAAAGAAGCATGAAATGCAACACGTGTGTACCAGTACGTGGGTATCGACAGGGTATACTAGAGATATAAACATATATGTAAAATGTTAAGAAAAAAGGAGCAAAGGCTACATGAAAATAATATAGAAGAGAAAACAACCATGTAAGCGGGAGATGAGTGGTGAACCAGATTGGCTGCAGGTTTATATATAGCTGCGTGATTAAGTATGATTTGCATGGATGGCGTGTTCTCCAACAAGGTTTGTGTGCAGTCTGGCTGCTCTGCTAGGCAGGCAACGTTAATGTGGTTACATTCCAGTTTCATCTGTTCCCCGTGCATTTCAAACGTCCATCACTTTTTAGTGCAACATCAGAACAGTAGCTGAAGACCGAAGGGCCATTCCTGCAGTTTTACACCCCAGATGATTTTGTTTTCCATGTGTGTTGAAGAGGTGCCATTGGGCGGCTCTCCCTGTTCTGCACTGGCCCTGCTCTGATCAG